CAAAGTAAAAGTAACACCACCTCTCTACATCAAAGTAAAAGTAACACATACCTCTCTACATCAAAGTAAAAGTAACACTACCTCTCTACATCAAAGTAAAAGTAACACATACCTCTCTACATCAAAGTAAAAGTAACACTACCTCTCTACATCAAAGTAAAAGTAACACTACCTCTCTACATCAAAGTAAAAGTAACACTACCTCTCTACATCAAAGTAAAAGTAACACATACCTCTCTACATCAAAGTAAAAGTAACACATACCTCTCTACATCAAAGTAAAAGTAACACTACCTCTCTACATCAAAGTAAAAGTAACACTACCTCTCTACATCAAAGTAAAAGTAACACTACCTCTCTACATCAAAGTAAAAGTAACACTACCTCTCTACATCAAAGTAAAAGTAACACATACCTCTCTACATCAAAGTAAAAGTAACACTACCTCTCTACATCAAAGTAAAAGTAACACTACCTCTCTACATCAAAGTAAAAGTAACACTACCTCTCTACATCAAAGTAAAAGTAACACATACCTTTCTACATCAAAGTAAAAGTAACACATACCTCTCTACATCAAAGTAAAAGTAACACTACCTCTCTACATCAAAGTAAAAGTAACACATACCTTTCTACATCAAAGTAAAAGTAACACTACCTCTCTACATCAAAGTAAAAGTAACACTACCTCTCTACATCAAGTAAAAGTAACACTACCTCTCTACATCAAGTAAACGTAACACTACTCTCTACATCAAAGTAAAAGTAACACACAACCTCTCTACATCAAAGTAAAAGTAACACTACCTCTCTACATCAAAGTAAAAGTAACACATACCTCTCTACATCAAAGTAAAAGTAACACATACCTCTCTACATCAAAGTAAAAGTAACACTACCTCTCTACATCAAAGTAAAAGTAACACTACCTCTCTACATCAAAGTAAAAGTAACACATACCTCTCTACATCAAAGTAAAAGTAACATACCTCTCTACATCAAAGTAAAAGTAAACACATACCCTCTCTACATCAAAGTAAAAGTAACACTACCTCTCTACTCAAAGTAAAAGTACACATACCTCTCTACATCAAAGTAAAAGTAACACCTACCTCTCTACACAAAGTAAAAGTAACACATACCTCTCTACATCAAAGTAAAGTAACACATACCTCTCTACATCAAAGTAAAAGTAACACATACCTCTCTACATCAAAGTAAAAGTAACACTACCTCTCTACATCAAAGTAAAAGTAACACTACCTCTCTACATCAAAGTAAAAGTAACACTACCTCTCTACATCAAAGTAAAAGTAACACTACCTCTCTACATCAAAGTAAAAGTAACACATACCTCTCTACATCAAAGTAAGTGTGGAACACCAAAGGTTAAAAGGAGGTCTGAGAAGCAGCCAGAGATAAAAGACCTTCAGAGGACAGATAAGACTAACAGCTGACTTTCCCACCACAAGTAGAGAAGCCCAAAGACAACGCGATGACAGCTTCACATGCTGGAGAAGAGGCCAACCTAGGACTGGATACCCAGCAGAAATATTTCCCCCCAACAAGGATACTTTGGAAATAACTGTATTTTCAGACTGGTTTTAAAAAATGAGATTTTTCTTTTCTAAAGGAAATTCTCAAGAATATGTTTAGACAGAAGCAAGCAATCCCAGAAGGAAGGTCTGCTACATATAAAAGAATGAAGATGCAAGGTATCTGCAGTGAGGTGGTGAAATATCAATGAAAGGGCTCAGACAGACACACATCTGACTTGGAAAAAACATTTGCAATGTATATAACAGGCAAAGGAGGCAGGCAAATCTAGCATCGGCATAGAATCCTACAAAGTCTGTATGGGCAAAGCATTTAAAAATCTTCTAATAATCACCCTGTTGGTGTGGCTCACTGATTGAGCATCACCCATGCACCAAGAGGTCACTGGTTTGATTCCCAGCCAGGGCACATGCCCAGGTTGCAAGCTCGATCCCCGGTGGGGGGCGTGCAGAAGGCAGCCAATCGGTGTTGACATTTCTCTCTCATTGATGTTTCTCTCTCTCCCCCTCTTCTTTCCTCTGTCTCTAAAATCAATTAAAAATATATGTAAAAATAAACAAATACATCTTCTAATAATAACCATTCGTGAGATACGAGCAAGCGCCACCTCTCGCTCCTGCAGAGGAAATGTAGAACCACACGGCCGCTGTGCGGAGGGACTGTGTTATAACTTGCAAGGTTGAAAATGTGGTTATCTTATCATCCAGCAAGTCCACTTTTAGGTATACTTCTTAGAACACCTATTTCACTGTGCTTAAGGAAGTGTGTGTATGCATGCTCCTTGCAAATTAAGCCAAAAAATGTTAATAAAGGAAGTGTCTACAAATACGGGAACAGAAATTACAATGTATTATATTCATGGGATGGAACACTCTGTAACCATGAAAGTAATGGATCTGATCTGTATGTAACAACAAGGCCAGAAACACGATATTGAGTCTAACAGCCAGTCTGAAGAACAATAAATTAGTATGATATTTGCATACCTATTTTAAAGATGGAAATCAACATTATTATATATTATTAGTGGATACCTCAATTGGCGAAGTAGGAAAACATGGATTGAAACAATTAGTGCCAAATACAGAAAACCACGATTATCTTTTTTGTTTTATTTATTTTAGTTTGCATAACATATAATATATAAAGTAACAGTTTATGTATTTTATTTCTTAAAGGCTCAGAAGCAAATAAGACAACATGTTAATATTTGTTCATTCTGGATCATTACTCAGGAGTCTTGTTATATATTTCTTGAGCTTTCCTGTATTTTGTTTTTAAACAAGTGAAAAAGAGAACAGATACTCTGATGCACGAACCTCACTATTCTCTGTGAGCTAAGGCCTGGGGGGGATGCGTTTTCTGTAGGATGTTAAGACGACTGAAGCTAAATGGGAAGTGAATGAAAAGTAGGCTCTTTCATGAGAGGACACACAGGTTGGCAGATGATAAACACAGATGTGAGTGGGTAGATGCATCTATAAGCTGAGATATATATGCTACATACAATCATGTGTGTGCAGGTGGATGGATGGATGGATGGATGGATGGCGGATGGATGGATGGATGGATGGTGGATGGATAGATAGTGGATGGATGGATGGATGGATGGTGAATAGATGGATAGATGGATGGATTGTGGATGGATGGATGGATGGATGGAGGATAGATGAATGGGTGGTGGATGGATGGATGGATGAATGGTGGATAGATAGATGGATGGACGGATGGAGGGGGGATGGATGGATGGATGGTGGATAGATGGATGGATAGATGGATGGATGGATGGATAGATGGAGGGGGGATGGATGGATGGATGGATGGATGATGGATGGATGGATGGATGGCAGATGGATGGATGGATGGATGGATGGATGGATGGATGGCTGTTGATGGACACATGGATGGATAGATGGATGGTGAGTGGGTGGTGGATGATGGATGGGTGGGGTGGCAGGCAGAAGAATGGCATCCAGCCCCTAATCCCCAAAACTGTGACTGTGTTACCTTCCATGGCAAAAAGGACTTTGCAGTGTATTTGTGGGTACAGTAAGATGATGAGATTATTGGGGTGAGCCAATGTACCACCTCGTCTTTAAAAAGGAAAAAAGATTGGGTCAGAGATGACAGAACACGATTTGGAGCAGAACAAAGCATCACTCCCCCAGGATGCTCCAGGTCAGCAAACAGCCTCACCAGGGATGTTAGAAATGCCGACTCTCGGGCCCCACGACACACCCGCTGAATTCCACTCAGCATCACAAGAAAACTCCCGGAGACGGGTGCACATGCAGGCAGGGGACCTCTGGGGCAAACGGGCGCTGGACTAAGACATGTTGGCTCAAACCCAGGTCCCTGGGGAGGTCACCGGACCTCTGTGTGCCTCGGTTTCCTCCTGAGAAGGTGGAGAGCCAGGCAAGGTGCCAGGCACAGAGCAGCCTCCGCAGTGCTCGCCGGGACGCCCGGTCCTGATGGACGATTAGAACAGGGCAGGGGCCTCCGGAGAGGGTGTCCCCTCCAGCCACAGAGGGCGGAGCAGCTGTGGGGACAGCTGCCTGAAGCATATCTAGTCTTCGGACAAACACTGACGGCAGGGGCGGGGAGGCTGAGTATTCGGGAGGAGGGGCTGCTGGGGGCCGGGATGCAGCGGGAAGGCCGGAGGGTCTCAGGGAGCTGGGATCAAAGTCCTCTTAGAGAATGGAGAGGACCAGTGATGCAACACGCACTCACCCCATGCGGGAGAGGAGCGGGTTGCAGGGAAGGGGACAAAAAACAAAAACCGTTCACAGGGGGTCTAGAGACGGCAGAGGCTGGATAAAGAGTTTGCTTTATAACTTGTACGCCGCGGGCAGCCCGAAGGGTTATGAGCAAAGGAGCAAGACAATCAAAGAAGGATATTAAAACCCCCACCCTGTTGGTATGTTATGTGCATGCGCACATGGCGGAGAAAAGTCTGGAAGGGCGCACACCTAAATGTCAGCGCTGATGGTCTCTGGCGGAGAGATTACCGGGATGTTTTATTGTCTTCTCTCTGCTCATCTGCACCTTCTAATTTTTCTGCAAAGGACACGCATCGCTTGCATAATTAAAAAAGCAATAAAAGCTGTAAATAATTAACACGCTCTCTCTTCAGGACTTAAACTGGATGGATGTGTTTCCGACTCAGTTGTTTCGAATGGTTGCCGGATCCCCGGCCTTCGAAGGGCACCCGCAAAAACCACACGGCCTGTGGGGCTGAGCGGGTGGACGCACGGGGGACACGCTGAGTGAGTCCCCGGACCGGGAAACTCCAGGCCCTGGTTCTTAAACAGCGGCTTTCCCTCCAGGGCACGGGGACGCCTTCTGACCCTGGCTGAGGTTTTCCTGGGGGTTTCGTGAAACCGCGGTCTGTGGCTCCCAGCCAGGCGGGCGGCGGAAAGGCAGCAGCTGCCAGACACACCTACCTTCTCCGTGTGTTCTGCCTGCTGGTCCCTCGGAACGGCTTTCTCCGCCAGGGCGGTCCTCTCCTGCATCCTGGCTCGGACCCCGGGTCCCGGGACGTCATCCCTGGGGCTGTTGGGTAGGAGAGCTGAAAACACCAGGCATGTTGGCATCATTTGCTCAAAGCCCTCATGGTGGGAGCAACAGAGAAGGGCTCCCTCTCTGCAGACAGGATGCCTGTCTGGGGAAATCGAGGCTCGGAAATGCTGCATCGCCACATGGTCTAAGCATTCCTGGGAGGAACCTTCTGGAACCCTGCCTGGGCTGGATCCACAGAGGAAGGCGCAGATGTTCGGTGTTAACTGGAGGCCTAGGGGACAGCATGGCCTCCATCCCCAACTGCCCCTCCCCAGGGATCCCCACACTCAATACCTCCTTGCCTTTCAGAGGAGGGGGCGGAGCCAGGCCTTCGGTGCCCCTCCCGGGCCCCTCGCCTGCTATATTAACCCACCAGTCTCCAGCTGAAGAGGCTGCACCCGCCTGGGGGAACAGCCACCGGGCTCTGCACCCAGCCCCCGTCAGCACCCCTAGGTGAAATCCAGAGATACCCCACCCGACAGGGGGCTAGAATCACCAGGTGAGGACCCTCGGAGCACCCGGGGAGGACTAGGAAGGATCGTCGGAGCACCCGGGGAGGACTAGGGGGGACCCTCAGAGCACCCGGGGAGGACTAGGGGGGACCCTCGGAGCACCCGGGGAGGACTAGGGGGGACCCTCGGAGCACCCGGGGAGGACTGGGGGGGAACCCTCAGAGCACCCGGGGAGGACTAGGGGGGACCCTCAAAGCACCCGGGGAGGACTAGGGGGGACCCTCGGAGCACTCGGGGAGGACTAGGGGGGACCCTCAAAGCACCCGGGGAGGACTAGGGGGGACCCTCAGAGCACCCAGGGAGGACTAGGGGGGACCCTTGGAGCACCCGGAGAGGACTAGGGGGGACCCTCAGAGCACCCGGGGAGGACTAGGGGGGACCCTCGGAGCACCCGGAGAGGACTAGGGGGGACCCTCGGAGCACCTGGGGAGGACTAGGGGGGACCCTCGGAGCACCCGGGGAGGACTAGGGGGGACCCTCGGAGCACCTGGGGAGGACTAGGGGGGACCCTCAGAGCACCCGGGAGGACTAGGGGGGGACCCTCGGAGCACCCGGGGAGGACTAGGGGGGACCCTCAAAGCACCTGGGGAGGACTAGGGGGGACCCTCGGAGCACCCGGGGAGGACTAGGGGGGACCCTCAAAGCACCCGGGGAGGACTAGGGGGGACCCTCGGAGCACCCGGAGAGGACTAGGGGGGACCCTCGGAGCACCTGGGGAGGACTAGGGGGGACCCTCGGAGCACCCGGGGAGGACTAGGGGGGACCCTCGGAGCACCTGGGGAGGACTAGGGGGGACCCTCAGAGCACCCGGGAGGACTAGGGGGGGACCCTCGGAGCACCCGGGGAGGACTAGGGGGGACCCTCAAAGCACCTGGGGAGGACTAGGGGGGACCCTCGGAGCACCCGGGGAGGACTAGGGGGGACCCTCGGAGCACTCAGGGAGGACTAGGGGGGACCCTCAAAGCACCTGGGGAGGACTAGGGGGGACCCTTGGAGCACCTGGGAGGACTAGGGGGGACCCTCGGAGCACCTGGGAGGACTAGGAGGGACCCTCGGAGCACCCGGGGAGGACTAGGGGGGACCCTCGGAGCACCCGGGGAGGACTAGGGGGGACCCTCGGAGCACCCGGGGAGGACTAGGGGGGACCCTCGGAGCACTCTCGGGAACCTGGGAAAAAGCTGAATCTGATCATCGTAGGAATTATTTCTCCAGAATCCCTGGCACAATAACTCTTTCCTTTCAAGAGGCATTTTGTGTTGTTTGTGGGGGTTTGTTTTGGTTCCGGCCTTTCTGTGTTGGGCCAGGAGTCTGTCTCTCAGCACGAGTCTCTGCTTTGTGATCTGAGATGACTCCTGGGCCGCCTTGCGTGTCACTCTCTGCCTCTGCCACCAGGAAGCTCAGCTAAACTCCCGTGTCTAGTTAGGAAAAGTATCTCACCCAGTCTCGGGTGCACTAATTCTTCCTGTGACGTTTATTTGTTCACGGTTATTTTGTTTGTTGGACGTCGGGGCCGGTATTTTCTCCGGCCCCGGCTGGGGCGGCCCAGCGGCCCTGGGAACGGGCGGGTCGGCGTTCTAGGGGACAGCAGTGCCGCAGGGTTTGCTCCCGCCTCCGCCCATCACCGCACGTCCGGCCCGCCCGCGAAGCGAGCCCCTCAGCCCGGGCCCCGGGGCAAGGCTGCGTTACCTTCCACGGCCGTGCGTCCCCTCCTTCCGCCGGGCGGGTCCCAGTGCACTGTCCAGACGCGGCCTTGCTCACCCGCCAGGCGCCAGCACCCTCCAGGGCGCTGTCCCCGGGGCGGGGCAGGGGGACACTGCGGCCCAAGCAGCACCAGGTGAGCCGGGGCTCGGCCTTCAGCACGGGGAAGGGGCCCTGTGGCCCGAAGCCCCCAGGACTCTCGGAGTGGGCGCAGGAGCCCCGCGCGGGCCAGCCCAGGGCTGGGAGGGAGCCGCAGGGACTGTGCCCTGCCTGGGGCCCTGGGGGAGCGTCTTCGGGGGCATTCCCAGGAGGCCCTGCCACGTCCCTGTTGAGTGTCCAGGGATTCAGGCCACCCCCAGAGGGCCGGGCCCTGGTCCACGTGTTGTCCGCACAGAGGTGTCCAGTGTCACGGGTCCCACTCCTCTGGGAGTCACAAGTCCGGGTGAGCAGGACAGAGGCTGTGTCCCAGGGGGCCCCAGCACTGGAGCCCAGACACTCCCGGGCTGCTGGGGTGCCGGTGCCCAAGTCTCCTTTCTCGTCGCCGAGTACCCCCTTGCTCCTGACCCAGGGCCTGGACCAGCTGGGGTCCTCCCTGAAGTCGGCTCCACCTGAGGCCAGGCCTGCGGCGGGGCGGGGAGGCAGGAGGGTCCCCAGCGCTGACCCCACAGAGGAGGCCGGGTCCTCGGGCTGCCTGCTCCCACAGAGAGGGTCCTGGCTGGGCCCCGGCCCCTGGGCGCCAGGCGGTGGCGGGGCCTCTCCCTGAGGTAACCTGAGGAGGTACTTGGGGGGAAAGGCAGGGTCTGTCAGGGCCGGAGAAGCACCAGGAGCCACGGAGGGACCCCCGGGGGCCCTGGCTGCAGGACCAGGCACCGGCTCCTCTGTCCTGGGCCCCGCCAGCCTCAGGGCCCCGGGGGAAGCAGAGGCCTCCCAGGGCCTGGCCCGGCCCTGCTCTGTGCGGCCAGCACTCCCGGGCAGCACCCCCGGCCCGCCCCCGTTGTCACTGTCCTTGGCCCAGGATGGCGGGGAGGCAGCCTGTGCAGGGCCCCCTGGGGTCTGGCCTCCCGCACCCAGCAGCCCGGACTCTGGGCAGCACAGCGTCTTCCTCTCCCAGGGCAGCGTGTCCTCTCCAGGCTCGGGCTCCCCAGAGCCGCTGCTGGGCTCTCTCGGGACGGTCAGGGCCCGCTGACAGGGCTCCTTCGTGTCCCCAATGTCCCAGGCGCCTGCTTCCAGCCTGGGAGCCTCCAGGTCCCCCTCTTTGGGGGGACCAGGTGCGGGGGGCAGCTGACACCCCAACTCCAGCCTCCCATTTGGAGGAAGCACAGGGCTCTTGTGGCCCAAAGGCGGGGGTTCTCTGCCGCGGAGGGTGGGGGGTGAGGTGGGCCTGCTCACCCGGGGCTGGTCACTGCCTCCTGCTCCAGCCACCGTGTCCCTCTGTCCAGGGGACTCGGTCACCAAGAAGTCTTCTGTGGCGGGGGGACTTCCCCAAGGCCCTGGCTTGGTCCCCACAGAAGCATCCCCACAGACAGGGGTCTTCCTGTCCTGGGACGGGGACCGGGACGGGGCCGCACCCTCGGCCCCCGAACCCTCTTCCGGCAGAGGGAGGTGCAGGGGGGTCTCGCAGCCCACTCTCCCCGCCCTGGCCTTCCTGCCTCCCTGGGGGCTGGTGCGCACCTTCCCGTAGGCCTTCTGGAACGTCTCGTTCCCATACATCTGCCACTTCTCCTGGGAGAACACCCTCGGCCTCCGCTGGCTGGGGGTCTGCCTGGCCGCCCGGCCCTTGCTGGCCGCCCCTTCCCCGGCCACCGCCCTCTTTCCGCGCAGGTCCTCTGCAGGGGCCGAGGCGTCTTCAGTGGGGGGACACAGCAGGTCCTCCACCGCCACCTGCCTGACCAGGGCCCGGGGGTGACCGCTGGGGCTGTCCACCAGCCGGGCAGGAGCGGGCCTGGGGCTCAGAGGTTTCTGCCTCCCGGGCCCAATGTCCCGGGGGCCCAGCGGCTCCTGCCATGTCCTGGTGCCCTCCACAAAGGGCAGCGAGTTGCTCCTGGTGACGGGGACGCACTCCACGGTGGTGGAGAGCTGAGTGGGGACGGAGTGGAAGAAGAGGGGCCGGGCCTCGCCCAGGGCGGTGCAGGCGGAGCGGGCAGGGCAGAGGGCCCCCTGCCTCCTCCGGCGGCCCGGGCCCAGCGCCCGGATCTCGAAGTGGAAGGAATCCTTGTAGGTGTAGGGCACCGGCAGGTCCACGCTGCCCTGCTTGGACAGGACCGTCTTGCGGGGCCGCACGTGGTCCAGCCGGGGGTCGTCCACCACGGCCTGGTTGTGTGAGATGAGCCGGGCGATGCGTTCCTCCAGCCGCCGCTTCTCCAGCTCCAGGCCGGGCCCCTGCCCTCCCAGCTCGGCCTTGGCGCCCCCGGGCCCCGGGGCGCCCTCCCCCTCGGACTCGGCGCTGTGCTCCGACAGGCTGTGCAGGGGGCTGCAGGCGGCCAGCGGCTGCTCGGAGCTGTCGGAGCGGGACAGGTAGCCCGAGTCCGTGCTCTCGCACTTCCTCAGCCGGCCCTCCGCGGCCTTGGTGTCCCAGGGCTTCTCCGAGGGCGTCACCTGCTGCTGCTGCAGGGAGCACGCCCTGCCGGCCGGGGACTTCTGCTCCGACAGCTTATGCCTGGGCTGTGAGCCGGCGGCGGGGGGTCCGGCGGCAGCCATGTGGGGCGAGTCCAAAGGGGCCTCTCTGTCAGCCAGTGTGGACCCTGGACAGCAAGCAGCGTCCAGCTTCGGATCCAGGTTCTTGGCAACTGGACACAGATGCACGGGGGGCACCGCGCAGTGCCCGGCGCCCTGGACGCCTGGAGAGAGGGGCCTCTCTGACGGAGCCCCGCCGCCCCCACCCAGGCTGCAGCTGTCCCCCTTGCCAGTCGTCCTGGAGGCCTGTCCAGCCTGGTCCGCCAAGAGGCTGGGCCCGGCGTCCTCGGACTCGGAGGACAGCCGAGAGTTGTTGAGGTGCGTCTGCGTGCGTCTGTGCTTGTACAGGTTGCTCTGGGTCTTAAAGGCGATGCCGCAGGTGGCACACGGGAAGGGCCTCTCTCCCGTGTGGGACCGAATGTGCTTCTCCAACACGCTGGGCTTCAGGCAGTCCCGGCCACAGTGAGGGCACAGGTGCTTGCCGACATTGCGCGCCTTCCCCAGGCCGCCCAGCGCGGGCCCCGGGGCCGGCGACAGGACAGGCAGAGCGCCCACGATGTTCACGGTGAGCGTGGGGGTCGCTGGCTTCCTGATCTGGGTAGGCCCAGGTCCCTCCGGCGGCAGCAGGGGGCTGAGAATGAAGGGCACGCTGCCCCCGTCCAGGCTGCCCGTCACCAGGGGGGCACGCGGCTGGAGGCCCCCGGGAGGCACTGTGTGGTACAGTGGGATGGGCAGCGCCTTCAGGAACACCGTGGGGGCCAGGCCCTGCTCCCGCGGCAGGATGACGGGGCCCAGGGTCAGGTGTGGGGAGGCCTGCCCACCTGGGGCCCCTGGGGGTCCTGGAGCCGGAGCCGGCTGGTCCCTGGCAGGTGAGGCGGGGCAGGTACGTTCCGGCACCTCCATCCTACATGGTAGGGGTGACCCAGGACGCTGGGTGACCTGCAGGCAAAACAAGACTTCACCACGGGCACCTCTTTCCATCATATGGCACACTCTCCCCACCTCCCCCCAGGCGTTCTGCACACCCCCCCCCCCAGAGCCTGACAGCAACCCCCCAAGAAGAGGATTCTTATCCTCATGTCAGGAAAGGGGAAACTGAGGTTCAGAGAGTGGAGGTGACATGTCATGCAGCCAACTCATGGCAAAGGTAGTGGCAACTCGTCTAAAGTGTGGCTCTCAGCTCAGACCGGCTCATGAAAGCTGATGGTTGAATTTTCAGGAATTGCACAAGCCAGTTGTTACACACGACCATAGTTAAAAGTTAAATGATATGATCTTACAATTAAATAACTTGTATGAAAAGGTACTACAGCCCTGGCCGGTTTGGCTCAGTGGTTGGAGCGTCGGCCTGCGGTACAGAGAGACCCAGGTTCGGTTCCCGCTAAGGGCACGTACCTCGGTTGCAGTTTGTCCCCGGCCCTGGTTGGTCGTGCGGGTGGCAGCCACTTGATGTGTCCCTTCACGTCGATGTTTCTCTCTCTCTCTCTTCCTCTCACTCTATCTGAACAAAAAATGGAAAAATGTCCTCGGATGAGGATAAAAAAAGGTACTACAACTGGATATCGCATGCGGAAGAATGACGTTAAACCCCTTCCTCACACCCTATACAGAAAGGAACTCAAAACTTACCAAAGACCTAAATGTAAGAGCTGAAACAACAGAACGTTTACAAGAAAACAGAGCAGTAAATATGCATGACTTTGGGCTTTGCAATGAATTCTTAGATGTGACACCGAAAGAATAAACAATTCAAAAAAGTAAAAGGTAAATTGATGAGACTTTAATCAAAATCAAAAACGTTTGTGCATCAAAGAAAATGAAAAGGCAATCCACAGAATGGGTGAAAAACTATAAAATATTTGCAAATTGTGTATCTGACATATCCAGAATATATAAAGAACTCTTATAACTCAATAACAAAGAGACAAACAACTCAATTTAAAACTGAGCACAGAGCCCGGCCCGTGTGGCTCAGTGGATTGAGCGCCGTCCCATGGACTGAGAGGTTTGATTCCCGGTCAGAGCACACGCCCAGGTTGCGGGTTCAATCCCCAGTAGGGGGCGTGCAGGAGGCAGCCGATCGATGTTTCTCTCTCACATCGATGTTTCTATCTCTCTCTCCCTAAAAAAAATCAATGAAAACATATATTTTTTAAAAATGAGCAAAGGACTTGACTAGACATTTCTCCCGAGGAGATACTCAGTGGCCAAAAGCACATGGAACCATGTTCAATATCGTCAGTCATTGGAAAAATGTGAGTCGGAACCATGCTGAGGTGTCACACCGACTAGTGTGACTGCGGTAATAACAACAGTAGACCGAAAACCGATGCTGGTGAGGTTGGGAAGACCGAGACCTTTACCCATGGCCAGCAGGAAGGTGCAACAGTGTGGCCACGTGGAAAAGGACTCGCCTCCCAAAAAGTTAAACACAGAATGACTGCATGGCCCGGCCATTCCACGCTTGGGGATGTCGCCTAAAGAACGGAACACAGATGTCCAAATGAAAACGTGTGTACGAAGGCTTACACCGGCATAGCTCAAAACAGCTCAGAGCTGAGAACAGCCCAAATGTCCATCAACTGATAAATAAACAAAACACAGTACGTCCGTATAGTGGGATGTTATCCAGCCGTAAGAAGGGAATACACCTTAAGAACACGCTACAACGTGGACGAGCCTTGAACACGGTGAGCTGATGAAAGAAACCATGTGAAAAGTCACACGTGCATAATTCCGTTTATATGAAAAACCCGGGAGAGGCAACTAGATAGACACACACAAAAGGTTATGGTGGTGGCCAGGGGTGAAGAGAGAATGAGGAATGACCGCCTTTGTAAGCACGGGGCTTCCTTTGGGGTGGTAAGATGTTCGGGAGCTAGACAGAGGGGTGGCAACACATTGGGAACGTACCAGATGCCGCCGAATTATCCCCTTTAAATAGTTAAAACGGAGAGTTTAATGTGGATTTTACTCAGTAAGAAGGCACTAGCTACTCAAAGCTCATCAGGTGCTAATTATTTTACTACATCTTACCATTCTCGGTGCCCTGGGGGTTATTTACACAGATTACATCAGTAGGATGGGAACACCCCAATGGGGTGGCACCTCTTCCCCACTTTGGGTCCTGTGGTGTCGCGTTCACAGCCTGGAACCGGCCAGGGTGGGAGTATTTACACCACAGCCGTTGGCAGACACCACAGGGGCTTCTTTCTCTTTTACCCTGAAACCACATCTCCCATTCTCTGTTCCTCACAAAGCCATCTAGCATTATGGATCTCACACTAGCATGTCACCTGCCTCAAAAAAAAAAAAAAATCGAGACCGTACACTTTGTACAGGGAAGATTCAAAGACACGTCCGTGGAGGTCAGGAGGCGCGGCCTGAACTCCTCGGTGCTGACACTGTGGGAGACCACGTCCGGCTTCCAGGAGCTGCGTCCTTCCTGCTGGCCGAGGGATTCGCCACGCCCCCCGGCACCCAGCAGACCTGAGCCCCTGACCCTGCTGTCCCGGCTCGCTGGGAATGCCCCAGAACCAGTTCCTCTGAGCACAGGTGACCGGGCGAGCTCCCGGAGGGCTGGGGGACACCATGTGGGGACAGTGTGCCATACAGTGCTGGGCACGGAGCGAGGGCTCGACGCACTTGAGTTCTCAATGATCCCCTGTAATATTCTGAACTATTCACGAGCAAGTCTTCTCCCACCGGATCACGCCGCCTCCCCCTTCGCGTCCCCCAGAAGTCAGTGCCGCGGGCTCCCTTCCTGCCTCTGGGAAGGAATGCCGCCCCACGTCGGGTTCCCGCGAAAAGGATGTCATTACAAGGACCTTATTTGGGAGGTGACCCCGGACACGGTCGCGGGGGAGTGGGAAAGAGGGTGACGGCACTGTGAAGTAAGCCCCACTGTGATCAGGCCGGGCGACACCAAGAGACTGTACAGAACACACACCTGTCACCCCGCCCGGGGGCGAGGGAGCGGGCGGGTCCAGCTGGCCAAGTGGACACACGGAGCCAGACCTGGTGGCCCAGAGGGTGGCGCACAGCCACGCCTCCTGCGGCAGGCTCCAGGGGTAAGAGGCGGGAGCTCCGTGGCCGGGCTGCTGCTGAGCCGCCGTGGCCACCAGAACTCGCTGGGCACCGAGCCCAAACCCGCAGGAGGAGGTAGAGGCCAGCAGCTCCCCAGTCCTCAGGGGAGGTGGGAGGGGAGACATTCAGAAGGGAAGGGAGGGGACCCTCCAACTTTGGCTTCGGTGGGGAGTTGAGTACAGAGGTGACCTGGACCCCATTCCCGGGGGCAACCAGGGAAGGCCCCAGGCCCAAGAGCAGCAACAGCCCCCAACACGTGGCAGCTGGGAAGGACAGACGGGTTCCAGGGCCTGTAGTCAGGCAGCCCCAGCATGACGTCCACGCACCCAAGGGGGCCCGGGGTGCCCAGGAGAACGGGGCAGACGGGGCGGTGAGCTCCAGGGGTGTCCCAGGGCAGGGCCTGCTGGGGGGGTCGAGGACTGAGCCCCATGTGCCCTGAAATAAGCCCAGGCTTGAGCGGAAAGAGAAAAGGAGCCCAGAGCTGGCCGCCTCCGGGGGGGAGCACCAGGCCTCGAAAATAGAAATCTCAGGAAGGGCGCCGCATCGCCGCACACCTGCCACCGTGACGACTTGTTCTCTCCGCAGCCTGTGCTGCGATCACAGCGAAGCGACGCCTTCGAGTCGGTGCCGGTCCCTGCTGGCAGGGTAACAGCCACCTGACACCTTCCTCCGGAGACAGAACTTGCACAGGAAAACCTCCAGGGGCCGCGCCACGCTCTGTCCCTCGAGGAGGTGTGGTTCGCGGCGTCCACACGGCGCTAACGGGGAGACTGAGGCGCGGTGGGAAGGCTCTGGGAAGACCCGCTGGTCCGCCAGGCTCATGGGCAGGTGCACAAGGCACATAGCGGGACGGTCCCCTCGCCTCCTCCATTCCACGGCCCCGGACCCCAAAGCCAGTGATATTCTTTGGCAGGAGTGTGCGGCTTCTTACGAAGAAGCGGCAGAAACTCCAGGGACAGAAGTACTTCCAAAGCCCCCATTTCCAAAAACAAATCCAGGGGCCCTGGGCAAAGAAAGAAATCCATGTTTAAAATTCACGCGTGGGGTCCTGAAGGAGGTGGCCCTGGAGGAAGGTTCTAAAGGTATTAAACAGAATTTTTAAGACAGAACTTGGGTGCCACGTTCACGTTCAGTGACACGTTTTCCAAGCCTCAGGCCGTCCTGCACCCCATCTCCCACTGCGCCTTGAGTGGGGACCCCACGGACTGTTACTTCCTGGCCGACCCCGAGCAGCTGAGCTCTGTTGTGCGGAAATACTGTCACTTCGGAAGGGACTCTGTGCACGACACCGAGAGTGTGCTCAGTGTCACTCAAGTGCACACTTAAATGTGGTTAAAATATATACTTTATGTCATGTGTATTTTACAACGTTTAAAAAATAAGGGAAAAAAAGGAAGGAAGGAAACATTTCATTACCCAACGCGCCAAAACCTCCCATTCATAAAACCCCGCACACAGACGAGCAGGGCCGCCTCCGTCAGTGCTAAAGCCCAGAGGCCCTTCCGGGGGGGAGGGGTAAAGACACCCGGCCTATTTGGAGGGCGGGATCGTACTCAGCGCTAAGTAGAAAGGAGCTGTCAATCACACCCAGACACGGAGGGAACCCAGGTGCACGTGTCTGAGTGGGAGAAGCCAATCTGAAAGGGCCACACACACCATCCGGGTCCCTGACATTCTGGAACGACAGCGCCATGGGGACAGGAGGGGTTCAGTAGTTGCTAAGAGTCAGAGGGAGGGGGTGACCGGGTGGGGCACCGAGGGCGAGCAGGGCAGTGAAGTGACTCCGCAGGATGCTCTAAGGACGGACACCTGTCATTATACATCTGTCCGAGCCCAGGGGACGTCCAACCCCG